TAGGTAACATCTTCAGTGATGTTACCTAGCTGGGTAATGAAACATTTGCAAGAAAACAAGCTCAGAGAACCCCAAGGACTCCACAGTTCAACCCTGAGCTACGTATATTCTCTTCTATCAGCAAAGATGGCCCATTTCACAGCAGTTAAAGATTAGGGATGCTTCAAGCTAAGAATGTGCAGATTGGGTGAACTCAAGGTCACGTTTGGCATGTGGAGAAATGTCCCATTAATATGCTACATTTGGGCTGCTGTTACATATATCCTTTTATCACAGTACATTTCACTGAAACCAGGAAGATTTACTTCCAAGTAAAAATGCATAGAATATGATTAAGAGTCACAAAACCACTTTCCATATGCAGCCCACACCTACTCACCACAAGCTAGCCTGATGAACCGGTCCTTAGTCCGTTTGTTTCCAAATTACATTAGCTATTGCCTCATTATGGTAAAAGTAACTTCCCAGATGCTAAAAGGAAAAAGAGATTCCCTTCTCTTTAAAGTTACAGCGTTGGTGGGTAGCAGTTGGTTACGGTTCTGAATCAGGGTGTTGGGGGAAGAGAAAGGATCCCTGCAACTTATAGGGTGCAGAGTGGTCAGCCTCCAATATATCTCTTGAAGCCACAGGTTTTACAACTGCCCTGCAGTGCTTCTCCGTGAGACTCTTTGCATTTTCCTGAGAAGGACCTTACCTGTTAATGCTTCTTTGCGCACTTTGAACATGTCAATGATGGGTGTGGTGATGCCAGCCATGGTCCCAATCATGCTCCCCAAACCCAGGTTTATCAGCATCAGGAAGAACATCACTGACCAGAAAGGAGAAGCTGGGAAGTGGGTCATTGCTTCTGTGAAAGCTATGAATGCGAGGCCAGTTCCCTGCACTGACTGTATACAAGCCAAAAGAAGATGCTTGTGTTATTCTTGACAGCAGAAAGAGCGTTATAAGAGCAGATGTGCATGCATTCTTGTCAATAGGGTTCTACCTGTAAAACTACAGGCTCTCGGAGCCAAACAGCCAATCACATATCGGCCTCTGGCCTGAATGAGGGGAATTTCCTGCATGGATAAGTAAAGGAAAAAGCAGGCATGTACTGAGGATTGCACAAGCATCTGCTGCTCTCTATATATACATGCTCTGGGAGAGAAGATCAGCTCTGCCTTTATATCGCATGTATATCATAGATATGATGGGATGAGTATTTATTCCTCAGGTTTTCCCCACATCAGCAACTTCATATGATCCAAACACATTTATTCGGTCATGCTCCATAAGTCCCCAACCTTCTTTTTTCAATGGTTATGGAGAAAGGAAACCCACCCACTCCTTCAATAAATGCCAGAATTACAGCCAGCACATTGGGAAAAACTACTACACAGTAAGAAAATTCATGAACTTTCTTCCACATCAGATTTAACATCCAGTGGCATTTTCTTATCATATATGTTTCCACTCAGCATGCTTGAAATGAGTGCTAACGGGGCAACGGATTTCAGAAACCTCGCGACATAAAAACCAGCAACATAATTGTGGGCTAAGGTATCTGCAGTTGTAATACTGCTACAATAAATTATATTAATAACAACAACAAAAGATGTCTGAACATTCTTCTGGATCTATACATGATGTCTCTATGATACAGCAGCAAGATGATTGGTCCCTGCTTTGCTATATATATCCAAGCAGTAGTCTTCAAGAGCACCTGTGGGCTGATTGACATTTTCTTTGGCATCTCCAAAGGAATTCCTTGCCCCACCTGGCTTTATTGTAAACCTTTTGATTAAAAGAATTGTGTGGGAAGCCAGCCTATTTCAGAACAAAATACAACTCTCTTATATCATCTTTCTTTACAAAGATGCCTCTGAATCCGATACATCTGAGACCTTAATCACTGCTTGGAATGAGAGGCCACTATGAGGAATATTCTAGACATCTGTCAGATAAAGTTTCTTAGATCAGGTCTAAGCTAAACTCTGGCTGTGCAAGTCCAGTTGAGTTGACCAATCCATGCCCAGTTATCTGGAATGAATTTGAGTCACTTGGCCCCAAGGGAATGGACAAGTGAGGTGGTTAGACTACAGCTTCAAAGAGCCCTGGAGGAAGATGATTATCTGGATCTCTTTCAGTTAGAGTCAGACCAAGATATAGTGCTGAGACAACACTGGTTGCACTAGCTGATGACCTGTGGAGGGACTGGGATGGTGGGGGTGCATCTATCCTAGCCCTCAGTCTCTCAGCAGCTTTCAATACCACTGACCATGGTAAACTTCTAGATCAACTTAGGGCACTATGAGTGGGAAGCAAGATGTTGCAGTAGTTTTCCTCTTTCTTCTGAGGTCAGTTCTAGTCAGTATTTGGCGGGGGGGGGGGTAGTTTAGCCCTAAACTCTTAATGTGTGTGGTGCTACTTTCTCTACTCCTATTTAACATCTACATGAGGCCACGAGGTAAGGTCATCCAATGGCAGAGGTTTAGGTATCATCAGTACCTGATTTTATTTTGTTTAAATCACTTAGTAATTGCAGAAAATCATTCTATGGACTTTGCACTTTTCAGTCCACCTATTAAAATAGGCATTCTGAAATTCAAAGCCACAATGAACTGAATCCAGCAACTATATTTTTCTTCCTGGAAGAGGGTTATTTTACAGTATCTTATTTTTTTAATTTAGTTTTAATGAACAGAGTTCTTAACCTTAAGTTGATTCAGTATGAAGATTTTGTTCACAAAAAACTCTGTCAGATCCTTTTAAAAAAAGACTTGTTGAACAAGCCATGACAGTTTGATTCTCACATAATGCTAAGCTAAAAATAAGTAAACAACTTCATGCCTTTGTGTTCAATGTCAGCCAGACTCCAATTGTGCACTGGAAAAATGTAGTCTTGGTGTTTTTGGCCCAGTTTTCTCCACTTCTTCTTCAAGCACTTAGAATAAAAGAGGTGGACCACTAAGCAAAAAATATGAATAAGCTAGGATTCTGGGATTTGATGTGTTTTAAACAAGCCTGGATTTTGGAATTTGTAAATCAAATCATAGTTTCACATTGTGGCTTATTGCTAACATTACATCATGGTTTCTTTCTTGGAATGACCATATTAGGGCTCATCATTATGATAATCAAGCCAATATCAGTACACACACACACACACACACACATATATACATATACATACATATACATATATACATATACATATACATATATACATATACATATACATA